TGGCCAGAAGGTCAATTCTCTCCACACAAAGCACATGGTTCGATACTGAGATCCGATATTTACAAAATATCTATTCCGTTTCGATTGGGGGTCGGCTTCTGCTCACGCTTTGAGGCCACATGTGGGGAGACTCTGCAGAACCAGATCCGTGAGTTTGGTCAGTTGCGGCTCATCAAGGCCTAATACACGTGTGCATCCGTCCATTACGATATTGCGCAATATTAGAAACCGGAAACAATCGTTACATCGGAAAGGATTTGGCACTCATGTTGATCGAAACAATGCATGCAAACCTTTTCTTGGTTCCTAAACTGACTGTTGTCGCGCAGGTGGACTCAAACATGGAGAACGCGCTGTACATGCTGGCCGACATGGCACCCTTGAAAGAGTTTCTCTTCGAGGAGATGCGTGAGGGACGCTTTAAACCAAAGTCTACAATTGGCTTGGGTCCATAATAACTCTGCCAATGGCAACTGTTGATCGTGTATCATATATTGCACACATATTCAAATTCACTTAAACATCGATAATATCGATATCGCGTAGTTATGTGATGCTGTTGTATTATAATTAATATACTGCAGAGGAAGAGCTTGGTTTCAAACAGCACTGCGATTAGTTTCGTAGTTGCGTAAGCTGTTTGGTGGTGTGGCCATTTTCACTAATTTGGATCAAGGTGATCTCCTGAACGAACCACACCGTGATGTGTCACGAAACATCATGTCTATTTTATCTTTGTAACACTTATAAATTCTCAAGTGAGTGGTGTGGTAGTGAGATCACATGCAAATTAAACTTAGCATACTAATTGGAACTCCCACACAGACTTCGCGCACCCGAGAGCGTGGTCGCGGCGTGGTCAGAGAGTGGAAAGACTATGATATAGCGTGGAAAGACCATGCTTTCGAGTGGAAAGACTATGCTTTTGCGTGGTCGGAGAACCGTTGAAAAACGTTCAAAAATCATCTTTTACGTTAAACAGGCACTGCAAAGCTTCATTTGCTTCCGTTTCGTGACACCCGTGAGATTCGTGACTTCTCGTGACTCGTGACTTTTCGGAAGTCGTGACTTTCGACACTTTCGCGACTTCCGACACTTTCGTAACTGCAGTATAGTAGTTTTGTACACTTTGCAAATTTGTTGTTCCCTGACCCTTTATTATCTCAGATCAAGACTGCACCGACCGCATTTGTTTTTATCACCTGAGCCGCTCGCGATGCCTGCAAGTAAGCTTAAGAAGAGCGCGGTTCATGTGGAACACCTACATGCGTTGTTACAGCAAGCGGCCATAAGACGTCATCAGTGCTACAGCAAACCAGGCCATCACGTGTGCTGTTCATGTGTGTGCGTGCATTCACTGGTGAAAGATACTAACCATTTTTTATCACAAAATTGTTGTGTCCTAAACTCGTATCTCCTTTACTCCAATCCAGTAGCCTAAGGGGATTGAGCACTGGGCAGGTGATGGAGAAGATGAAAAGAAAGAAAAGGAAAAGAAAGCAGTGAAAGGAAAAGACAAGCATAATGAAGATCCGGCTCCACCAACACTGGTGGATGAATGCTCACAGGCTACAACAGTGCCTGGAACTGACGAAGAGGCAAAGGCCAATGCGTTGCGTGGCCTGAAAGAGCTTCGGGAGATGGAGCGCCTGGAGGCCGAAGCTGCCAAGAATGCGGAGTTGGAACGGCGGCGCCAGCTGTTGACTGCAAAGACTATAGTCCTGGGGGATGAAAGTCAAGGGGATGAGGTGAGCCCAACACAGGTTGTAGAGCCAAAGGCTCACCCAAAGGCATCAGCTGTTGCACCGAGTGAGCCAAAGGCATCGAGTCGGCAAAATGCAACTCCAGCTGTTGCACCAAGTGAGCCAAAGGCACCGTGTGAGCCAAAGGCAGCTCCAGCTGTTGCACCGAGCCGTGCAAAGGCAAGTGCAGCTGTTGCACCAGCACCCAAAACGATACCTTTGGCAAAAACTGCTGCATCAAAAGCTGCGAGCCGATCCAGAGCAAAATCGGCGCCTGCGAGGGTTGCCCCGCCATCTCGTGCAAAATCGGCGCCTGCAAAGGTAGCCCAGCCGACTCAGCAGATGGTTGACCAGGAGGCAGCTTTGGACCACTACCTCAATGAGTTCCCGATCTTGGTCAAGCGCTTTGGGCAGGAGCATGCGACCAGGATCCAAATGGAGCGGGAAGCAGCTGTGATACAATACCGTGATTCCTTGAAGGTGACACCGGCTGCAGCAAAGGCATCAGAGCCTGCAGGCAAGGCTGTTGCAGCGGCCCCCAAAGCAGCTGGGAAGACTAAGGCTGATGATAAGGAGAACAAACAGCCTGCAGCCAACAATGGACAGGTTAAGGAGCCTGCGAAGAGGCCAGCTGATCTCACGTCAGCCGACGCTTCAGCAGCGAAGAAATCGAAGCAGCATCCTTCGCCTGCAACCCAGAGCTCCCTGGTGTCGCCTACCAGTAGTGCGCCAAGCCCGAGCCCTCCAAGTGCACCAAGTTCTGAAAGCGGAGGAGGGTCTGGTTTGCAGCGTGCGTGCACACACACATCATTGAGTGCCCTGCTCAACAGAGCTGCCACCTTTGAAGCTGATGGGCTGGATCCGGAAGGGTTCGAGTGTGCTCTCAAGGCAGATGTTGCTTCGCATGGAGCTGGTGAAGCTGGTGTTGAGGAAAAGTCTGAGAGCAAGGCCACGAGGGACAAAGAGAAGCACAATCGGAGGATGAGGTTTTACAGAAGCCTGAAGAGTCCTTTAGCTAAATTTGAAGGTTTGTTCGACCCATGCGTGCATGGTGTGTAGTATAGTTGGATCGATTACCCTGTCCAATACTGATCAATTCTCCTTCGTGCATGATTTCTTGCTCAGGCCCCAATTCACCGGATGAAGTTCGATACCTTGCGGAGAAAGCCAGAAGCGGAGACCGAGACTTGCACGCAGTATAGATCGATCGAGCCCTGGAGCCATGTTTCACATCACACCACCGGAAGTGCATAATGTTCTATCAAAGAATATTCTAGCCCCATGTCGCCCAATCAAACTGATTGTGCACCTGTGTCCAGGAAATGAAAAGACTTGTAAGCTTCATTTGCTATACGAGCAATGGTGCTCAGCAAATGAATTGTGGAAGCAATCGTCTTTGGTCTTGCGCATGAAGAAGGCGGTCAATAGCAAGACTCGCGGCGCCCGCCGCTGGATGACCAAGAAGGACATCGAAGCTCGATATGATGCAGAAGTGGCTGCTGAAATTATCGAAGCCAAATCAAAGCCTGAGATGGAGGGAATTCTTTGGAAGCCTCACCCAGACCTACCAGGGCGGGAGGACATGAGGTTATACCTATGCTGGGATGAGTCGACAGAAGAAGAGACCACAGACGACCTGGTGGAGATGATGTACGAAGGGTATGATGATGATGTGAAGCGGCGTGAGAAGAGCAAGGCCAGGAAAGAAAAGAAAAAGGACAAGAAGCGTCGCAAGAAGTCTTCATCAAGCTCTGCTAGCTCGAGTGAGGAGTCAGAGGATGATGAGGAGAGCAGCGAGGTGTCTGATAGTTCTTCGACTTCGGATGCCAAGAAAAAGAAGAAGAAGGATAAGAAGAAAAAGAATGCCAAGAATGGCAAGAAGGATAAGAAGAAGAGCTCCAAGGACAAGAAGGGCAAGAAAAAGACAAAAGCGAAGTCGAAGAAGCCTGAGAAGAAGCCTGAGAAGGAGAAGGAGAAGACTGCAGAGGAATTGCAGAAAGAAAAGGAGAAGGATGAGAAGAGGAAAGATGAAGAAAGAAGGAAGGCTGAGAAAGAAAAGGCCAAGCAGGAGGAGAAGAAGAAGCAAGAGATTCGATCAAAAGGAAAGAAGGCTTGGGCCTGGGCAAGCCATGCACCTCTTTCACGCTGTTGTGCATATGCATAAATTAAAACGAGCCAGCCTGTGCACGCATGCATGCATGTGCTTCTTCTTCAAATATGACTTTTGTTTCGAGTGTTCGGACATCTCAACGTAGCAAGTTATGGGACAAGTTCAAACCGTCAGGCTTTGAATGAATTGGTGGCATCGCTTGCGGACATCTCCCGTCGGGAAAAGAAAGCCGGTGAACTGTAACTTGGACACATTTGTTGGGAAATCACTCAATAATGCCAATTGACTTCGACATTTTACAAATCATACGTAGGGTTCGCAGCTCAAGCGACTCAGGATGTTATATATGATGTGATATCATCGTAATATTGCAGCCCAAATGCAAAGCCACCTCTGCTTGAGGTCGGCCAGCTTGCGAGACGCGGTCAGGGAATCCTTGAAGGTGAATCGGACGGCTCTGGCGACTTCGAAGACCGGCATCTCTGAGTTGATTGAGGACGATGAGGTCATCTATTTTTTAAAAAAACATGTGCATTTGATGTTATATACATCGACATCACAATCTCTGTCGTGAGTTGTTAATATTCCATTTATGTTACTCCGTCTACCTGTCCCGGATCTGTGCATCGAGTGTCAGGTGGAGAAAATGTCATCAGCAACTGCTGAAGCCAACAGAGTTCTGAAAGAATGGAAGAATTGCAAAGCAATGTTGTAATTGCTGTAGCTGAAGACCGGCTATTTTGGCACCGTACTAGAAGTCTCATGAAATATGTTGTTACAAAAAACAACATGAACAACATCGATATTCGATATAGGGTTGGTGCACACAGTACACATGCCAATAGCGGGATAGCAAATTCCAAAGTGGTCACGTCAGACCGTGGCTGCTCGATTCTGAGCCTGCTATGTGGTAATTTTGTTACCAAAGTGTGTGAATGCACACACACACACATCTATTTGCTCGAGATGAGATCACAAGTGTTGATCATTAGGATCAATCTGAAGCTGATTGGGGCGGCTTCAAAAACAGTTAACGCATCGATGAATTTCTGGAACCGAATCTATGTGCACCAAATGCTCACGCATGTGTGTGGTCGGTCGACCTTTGATAAAACATGATCTAGAATTTGCACGTCGTATCTGTGCAGGCCCCTATGACCGCGATCGCAACCGTGAGCTGTCCTCCTTCGTGCTGTCCGCTGTTGATGATGTCGCAGGTAGTGTTCCTTGGATGCGCGTCTTCCGTGCTTTGACCCATGCACCACTGATTCCTCATGAGTCCCAATCATGCAGTCGAGTCCAACAGAGATCTCATATTGCAAACTTGCGTATATTGGCTGATTAAATATGTGACTGATCACAGCTAAGGTCTCCAGTATCAAGCAAGCAATGCGGAATCTCAGAAACCATTACAAAGAAGCTCAACTAAACAATGAAACTGCATCCATGTTAGTGCAATGGAGTCAAACGTTTCCATCGATGCATCGGCGTGCACGCAAATGACATACGTGCATGAGTAATTTAATGTGCAAAAACTTATAAAACACATGTGGCGGCCCGTGGCGGCGACTAAGGAAGTTGGAGCCAGCAGAATCAAGAGCTCTGCAGTGCTTCGATTGGCAACGAGGTCCAAGTTCAATACTGTCCGTGACTTCTTTAGTTTTTGCCATGTACCGGTCGAGACTTGGGCTTTATTTGGCCGTCCATTCATCAAATGAATGCATGCACACAGTGTGTTTTTAAATCAACCCTCAACACGTCGGTCGATGCGTGTTCTTTTTGTGCCTTGCACCGTTTCACCATGCACGCATGAGGAAACGGCGACAGTTCGAGCTCCGGTGAAAGACCTCAAGAGTAAGAGGGGGTTCAAATGGATAGATATCGAGATGCTTGAACCTTTCAGTCTTATTCAATATTTGTGGAACGATGTCGGGTTGCAGATCGATGAGAACCAGGTGCGAACATTCTGGACAGAACATCGCAATCGAGGCACCGCCTGGGCAGTTCGAGCAGAGTCAACTGATTTTATCCCTTTGGGATTGTACGGTGATTCATGTCGAATAAGGCACATCGCACATCAGCCGGTGCAGAAGGCAGTTGGGATATTCTTGAATTGTCCTTTGTTCCGGCCCAACAATGCAAGGGCGAGTCGGTGGCTACTGTGCACTATCGATGAGAACTTGTTGTTCAAGCATGTGACCCTAAACAGAATCTATGCTCGGTTGGTCTGGAGCCTGAACATGCTGTGGGAGGATCGATTTCCGGCATGCGGACCATTCGGGGAGGCTATCCCTGAAAGATTCAGGCATCGCGTTGGCAAGCCGATCACAGGCAAGCGTTTCCAGGTTGTCGAATTGCGCGGGGATTGGGTCTGGCACAAACAAGTGCTGAGATTCAATTCCACTTGGTTGGCTGGTGCCAGGAAGCCAGTTTGTTTTCTGTGTCCGGCATATCGTACTGGAGCGCACCGGTATACCAATGTCACAGAATCGAACCCACTGTGGGACTGCCAGTACGATTGTCCAGAGTTCATTCGGTGTGAACTTCCTTCGCGGGGCCCGAGCTCCTCGGCAAGGTGTTCAAACCTTGCTCTACTTGTGGAGTCAGTTTTCATGTGATTGATCTTTTGTGGATCGATGGATGTGGATGGTTTGTTCTATCATTGTTCAATTGAGGCCCACTCGTGCTTTTGCGAGGGTTCGATCCATCTTGCCTGGCAATCTGTTCGATGCACTGCATCAATCTTGGATTGATGTATGGTGTAAACGGCAGTTGTCTGAGTCATGTCCGCATGACTATGGTAATGGTAATACCACATGATGCATGCACACTACGATCTGCATTTCTGCTGATTCTCGATCCTAGGATGACAATCGTGGAGAGCACTGACATCTTTGGTCGCCACGGAGATCTTACTTTGCAGGAGACGCTTGCTTTAGGTCGACCTGTTTGTTGCTCTCAATACTCGCAGGAGCAATTTGACTTGGCGTACATGAGCTTCAAAGAGTTTCTCAAGACAGCCAAGATTCGCTGTTCCCAACCTCCATTCACTGTGAAGCTTGCCACCTGGGCTAATTATGTTTCACTTGCGGCGCTTGTGCTCCTGGAACGTTATGCATGCATGCAGGAAGGTGCATGCAGGCATGAAAAACAATGTTTTGAATTCATGAGTGCACAACTCAGCCACTTCTGCCATTTCAAGGTTGTGAAGTCATCGGATGAAATCCTCATGACAGGAAAGGCATACAACAATCGGTGCATACAATTGTGGCTTGAGCACGTCATGCGCACTGCAGCTGCGATGCACACCTCGGATGAACGAATTGGCCATATGTCAGTGTGCATGCTTTCCGGCTGCATGCACATGTGAGCGTGTTGTTTTGCAAGTACTGCACACTGCCATGTACTGTATTATTTTTGGCCTGCACTGGCATGTTGTCACAAGGACGGCGCTTGCGAGATTCATGCATTTGGTGGAGGCTGCCCCTCGCTTCTTGTGCTTTAGCCGCATGAATCCTTTTTCACGTCTGAAGCGTCACAATTACTCACATGAACTACCAGCATAAGGTCGCAACGACAGGCAGATGAGATCCATCACGAAGGAATGCTTTTTGCTAGGATGCACGTTTTGCCCAATGCTGAAAGCGCAAGGCACCTCTTTGCGATCGATCTTTGTTTGATTGTGCGCGCACACAATTGATATCTAGAAGCTGTTAACTTGCATACTGCAGGCTTGGGAAGCCGCATTTTGTCATCCGTCCTAAACTGCATGCACCTCGCTTGCAGAATTGTTCAAAGACTCGATGTTATATTGATGTCATACACGTGGACGTGCACAACCATGAGAATGTGTTCTTCATGCCCAGGCCTTTGCACACCTCCTCTTACAAGTTCGAAAGAGAATCTTGTATGCACATGTGTTATGATGCATGTGCACGGCACACACAAGTGTTTTATCGCAAAAGGTGTTTGTTCTGCGCGTTTCCGGCATTCTGTCCAGGATGCAACTTTCGATACCACCATTGCTTCGTGGACGAGGATAACATGGGATGGCTTCGACGTATCCCAGTGGCAAAATAACTAATATTGCTTGCATATATTCACCATGGACCATGCATTGGTGAGTGCTAGTGTAGGGATTGATCGGGATCACTATCTGAGGTACGGTGCTACGAGCTCATGGTGCCAATCAAAGGGGGTGGGCATTGCGTATGAGCAAACTTCGCCTGTGGACCTTGAAACACAAGATATTCAAGCTTCTGGGCTGTGATATGCAATGAGTGACAACATCGCTTTGGGTCAGGAATCTAGAGAAATCTGTTTGTGCATATGGAGCTTCAAACATGGTGTGCCTATAATGACTTGATCAAATCGCTGCATGAGGCTGCGTCAATCCTCTAATCGGAGGAAGTGAAGGTTGAAGACCGCTCGCTCGAAAAGAAACATGTGGGTGCGTGATGGCGCGTGATGAGGCGTGACTCGCGAACGACCATAAGAGTCTACGTCCTTCACATAAAGACTATAAAATCGATGGTCTTTTGACTCTCTGGGTATATATACAGTAATATGCTTGAATCTTCCTTGGGGACGTAACAAGCTCCCAGACCCTGTTTATTTGTTTAAGTGCTGGAGTGAAGATCTATGCATCCCAGCATTCCATGGGTCGTGTTTGGGCATGTAACTGTGCACCCAATGGCCATGCATGGCCTGCGGAACTAGATACAGAGAGAGAGAGATCTTTCGAAATGAGACCAAATCAACTGATACTCTAGATCAACTGCATGTTCATTCCAGCAGGCAGTGGACAAGCCAAGTTACTTTTCCATATTTTTCCCGCATTTGGATGCATTTGGAGGTTCAAGCGGAGTCAAGTAGTCAAGGAATGCTTCAAAGATCAGTCAAGTGGGCTTGGACTTGGGGTTTTTCATGACTTGGCGGACAGGCTGTTCATTTCTTGTCCAAACATCGCCTGCATTCGTGCGGGAGGACTTCTGCTATGACCACCGCCTGCGGAAAAGCCTCCTGAGCTCATTGCCCTCCAGCGACGCGTCAGGCTTGGACGCCGGCTTGCAACTTGGACCGCCGGGAAGCGACTCCGGCCGACTCCGGCTATCCCTATACACCGGACGATTTGGGGTCCGTTTCTTGCCTCGAAGATCATCTCTGTGAGAGGAAAACGGTGTCCGCATTGGTGACTGGAAGAGTGACGTATCCGATTCCAGTCGAAACAATCTCTCGGTTTACTTGGGGAAGAAGTAGCCACATCTTAGAAACCAGCCAGAGAAACATGAGTGCACCACCTCATCCTGTTCTGCTATTTGTCTCCTATCCAGACCTCGGATGTTGGAAGCCCTAGGCAGCCACAGCCTTGCGAGTTGCTGGGGATGTCCGGACACACTGCAGAGGCTTTAGGGCCCCTGGTCCTTCAGCACCTTGCCACCTTGCCGGCCGGACGGCAGAGCGGAAGCGTCCGACATAAGGGGTTTCACTGAAAGAACCCGCGTGAATGGCGCCCTCATCAGGATGACCATTGGTCCAAGGACTGAGTTTCAGGTGGTGAACTCCACGTCACCACGTAGAACCATGATTGTCTCTGAGTTTTTCGGCTGCGCCTCGTCACCGAAACCAGGGTTTTTGATGAGACTGTTTGGATTTTTGGAGAAGACCGACGCGTCGAGAGCTCACACATCATTTGCCTAACTACGGTGAGACATACCAGGACCCTCCGACCCTCGAAGTTTCAGGGGGAACTACCCCACACTACCAGCCGTTCGGCTTCCAGACAGGGCACCCCGCGGTGTCGGGTCCTGGTACTTGTTCATTTTACTTTGGAGAAGTTGGGTCCATCCATCCACCCATCCCGTGAGACGGGGGTTATGGCCGCCCTGCCTGGCTGCTGATCGACCATGAGACCGGCGCCTAGGATCGGTGGCATGCGGAAGTCCCTAAGGGCGAATGATGTCGTCCACGTGCCGCGGGAGCAGTGGCTGGAGGGGTCCGAGGCGGAAAGATGGAAAGGTGGTCGGGGGGGATGGAAGATGACCTTCTTAGTGTTTTGGGTTCACTTTGCAATCAAAAACAATACAAAAATTAGATGAACAAATATGATTTAGTTGTTGGATGGTTCACTGGGACCAAGATGGAGAGACTGGATGAACATGGATAGAACATGGACCAACGTGTTGGGAAATGGATGAAACTGGAGAGATTGCTGGGACTCGTCGGATACAGTCGGACTCATGGTCCGCCAAAATGGCAAGACTCCTTTCCACCCACGGGGTGGTGCCATCCAGGAGACCATGTGATGTGTTTGTTTGAGTGTACATGTTTGGACCATTTGTTTGGGGTGAGTGGCCGGATGGTGTGTCAATTCGGGCAGTCCAGCCAGGAGACCCATTGGATGGTGCTGGTATATGAGCAAGTTGACAAAAAATATATGAATAATTTGTGTATGATGTATAGATTACACTATATATAATATAACGGCACCTTCCAACAGTTGAATTTTGGACACCCCTAAAAGTGGCCCACACCCCTTGGAGGGACCTGGTATATGATTTTGTATATTACGCTTTTGTTTTTGTGTACATTACATATGGTAATTAACAGTCAGTACACTTTTTGGTTTTGTATGTATATAATTGTGTTTTCAATGTTTTTTTTTTTCGGATGTGGTCAGTGGTGAGCGTCATTGAGGTTCTTCATGCCATGCAACATCTGTTCTTACCGGGCTCTGCCAAGCGCACACCCAGGTCACGGTGCTCAACCTGCGAGAGCGGCGCATCTTCCAACCCACGCTGCATCCCGAGTCCCTGAAGCCACTGCCACTGGTCGAAATGCGCAGATGTCAGGCTGCAGATCGGAGAGATCTCCCTCAACTGGCCGCAACAACTCGCTTTATTGGTGGCTTTCTTGGTGATATTGTTTCAGGTGTCCACTTCTTGCGCCACTTTGGGGTTACAGCACCAATCCAGCTTGTACAGTGAAAGAATCAACGGCTGCTGGACCGCTGGAAGAGCGCAACATGTTCAAGACACATCCGACTCACCCGAAAAGATTTGCATCCTTGAAACAATCATGGAAGTTGAACAGCTTGGGCCCATGGGTCAGACCAGTTTCCTTTATCCAAGCCCCAAGCTCCTTGTATAGAGAGGTTTGCTCAAAGTTCCATGATGGTTAGAGGGGAAGGTAGATTTAGCAATTCACCCATCCAAATTGGATTTCAAACCGGTGCCTTGTTGCATGGTTTCTGCACGGTGTTATTCGGGTCCGACTCGCCCTGGCGAGGCAACGCATGCGTCACGCCAGCTGCGTGGTGCGGTGTAGCTTCCTGCCGGCCTCAGCGCCGAGACTGGAAGGGTGACTGTCAATGACTCGACCGGTCCATGTTAGTCGGAACGCCTGGCAGGTCTCCCTATAGAGAAGAGCTGGTCTAGCCGAGTCTAGCTTTTGCTCAGGAGGGAGCGATTCGGCTTCGGGTCGCTGGGGGGGTCCCCCCAAGGGGGGAGCCGTTCGGAGCTACAGGGAGTTCCTCAACGCCGACAGCTAGCTATACGCAAAGGATTATAAGGGGCTTTTGAAGGGCACTTCCTTCACATTCAATGACTTCTAGGGGGTCGCTGTTGTGAATAGACTGACATTCACACTGAATGCTGTTGTAACATGTTGTAACTTGATGCGTGAGGGCACAAGTCCCAACAATATGTTTAGATTTGGGAAGCCACTGGAATCTATTGGGCATTATTTGGTTATCTAAATTGCCTACCGGAAGGGAAGAGCTCACAAACGCAGCCATTTCAACTTGTTGGCACCTGGACCATCCAATGGAGATCTCTTGTTCAGTAGGGGACACCCATTGCTGGACACCCATTCGATGCTCTGGGTTTGTGTAGCTCATGCAATCTAAGCAAGTATGCCACTTTCCTTTCAGCCTTCCTACCCGGATCTTGACCCAATCTCTACGGTCCCAGCTGCAGATGAAACCGGGAACCTGAGGCCTATGGCGGCTGTGTGCTGGTGCTGGGAGGCCATGATGCCAACACACATGCATCGAGGTGCGGAAACCAGTCCTGCAAAGAAACCAGTCCTGCACACAATACATCAAATACCAAGTAGGATGGAAGTGGATGGAAACCAGCACCATGAGGAAATGGATGGATTGAAAGAATCATGGAAGTGGATCGAAACCCTCTCCTCCAATGTGACGGCCTTGTCCTTGATTTCCAGGAGGAGGTCGACCTCTCCGCAGCCTCAGTTGTAGTGATTTATTATGTACCAGCACATGTATCATCGAACTAACAGTGATCCAATTGGAAGAAGAAGAGTTGGAGGTCCGAGACAGCAGTGGCGTCATTTCACACATAAACATGTTTGGGAAAATTTGACGGACGAACGGGCAGAATGCGAAAACACAGAAAGATTAAAACCAGAAAGAAACAAATCGAAACGCTCTCGCACAACATGTTTAAAGCTGCCGCATTTCGGGCCCATTGACGCTTTAGCACTCATGCTCGAGGAAATGTACATGTATCATGTATGTATGCAAAGCACGCCTTTGTGCGCAAGAAGACCCAAACCCATTCTATTTGTTGCTTTTGTTCCCTGCAATGGAACATTCTCAGCAACCTGAGGAAGCCTTTCGAAGGTTCTTGGCACCTGGGGCAGGTCCAGAATGTGTAGAGCAAGAACTATAGCCTGTATGGTGGCATTGGATGGAATTGGAGATATCCAATTCCACCACTGCAAAAGCTAGTGGGTCCAAAGTTGAACAGGGCCAGTGGCGGGGTGGGATAAATCTGGTGACCGAACTGACTCGGCTTGAGTAGGTGGATGAGAAAAGAAAAAGCGCGCTTCACTCACTTCTTTGGGATCCAAAGTGTCTAGTAACTCCCAAACGATCCCACGTTCCCCTTGAACACCACACAATTCCAAAAATACCAACCCAGTACTTTGAGAGTCCATGTTCATTTGGGTCTATAACTCCTGGATTCCTGAGGCTGGGACTACCGCGGCCAGCCATGCGACGCTTGATGTTCTTGCAAGTGACGCAAAGTGATGGCTTCGGGCCCCAGCCGGATCCGCGTGAGGCTGAGCTGTGGCATTGGTGCCCCATTGATATCCACTGGTCACGATTCTCTTGGATGGCACATGATTCCACCATCATCCCACCCATCCAACCAAATGGTTCATCATCGTCATCATCATCATCATCCTCATCCTCATCCATCATCCCCATCCTCATCCATCCTCCTCCTCATCATCATCATTATCCCAACTTTGGAGCGCCCCTTCAATCGCCTCGGAGCGCGACATCCGGACATCGGTGGAGTCTCCGAGGCTCCGAAATTCGGTGGCTCGAGCGGCAGGACCGGGGGGCCTTGTTGAGCTTCGCTTAGCGGAAGCGGTGCAGGGGGA